AATGCTTAGCATATGGCACATTCATAATAAATGGTAGATGATAGTGTTGATAATGATTCTGAAGCTTGTTTATCTGGTGAAGTTCACGTTGGTCAACTTCAGTATCCGAACACCCCAAAACCAACTTGGAAATAGGCCAAGAGACTTGTCTTCGGTAAGCTAAAGTTAAAATTTTGCAGCTTGATTTCTCTGAGTGGACCATCATTGAGCCTGTGTCTCTGGACATTAGGGAAAGGAGGATAGAAAGAGATTCTAGAGCAGCCTTACATGTTTCTGGGAAGGATTTATCAGATGAAAGTGAGCTTTGCAGTCAGACGTTGGACATCATCCCCTGACCTGAGCACTTAAAAGTTGTTTAATTTTCTTTTCTAAGGTCATATTAATTGGGTTTCAGTTCAGCTGCAAGTAACAGCAACCCCCAAATAACAGTAACTTAAAAACTGCTTGTCCTTGGGCAAGTTACTTAACTTCTCTGTGCGACATTTTCTCAAAAACACAATAATAATAGAATTTACTTTGTAGGGTTGTTATAATGAATAAATNTGAACTTACCTAGCTGCAAGTACAGCTAGAATGTATAGTCTTCGTTCAGCTGGTCATGTACCCAGCTAAACTTCTGTTACTACAGAAGACTAGTTGAACAGTGTGGAAGCAAATAAGACAAACCAAATGAGAGAAGCAAGGACTGTTTATTCTGAGCTTGCTATAGCAAGGGAGTCAGTCACTGTCACTCGCATTTTGGAAGAGATTTAAAGGCAAGCAGAAAAGTGAAAGTTTCATAGAGAAAAACAGGGATGGCTTCAGGTATGCCCTGATTGGAAGCTGTTGGTATGGGGAAGCTGGAGGTGGGCTGACTAGAAGTGCGACATCCTGTGAAATTGGTTAGGGGACATACGTGGCTCTCTCTAGTTGGTCTTAGTTGGAAGCAGAGACTATATTAGGGATGCTGTCAGTTATTAATCCGTCTTGGCCATTTGGGGCTGATTGTTACAGAAGTTATTGTTTAGCTTCCTGGATTGTCACTAGAGACCGCAATCTGGCTTACTGGTTTGTTTGTTGTAGGTAAAGGGTTGGTTTCCTGGAAGGTTGCTGCAGGTTGTAGATCAAAATTCTGTTTTTGTATGTCATCTGGACATTGTCACTTTATATGTTCAGTCTCTCAGTGGATACTGGAGTACAGCTTGTAATCTCTGCTACATGGCGGTATTGTAAGGAGTTTTTAAAAACAATGTTAGGTGCTTTATATACATTACATTATTTAATCTTCACAATGCTACCCTGAGGTGAACTTGACACTCAGAGAAGATAAGTATCATTATTAGCAAATAGCAGAACTGGTATTTTTGAAATTGGGTTTTTTGTTTGTTTTTTAGTGGCTGGTGATATGGGGATCTGAACCCTTGGCCTTGGTGTTACCAACACTGTGCTCTATCCAACTGAGCTAATTGTCTAGCCTGAAATTAGGTTTGTCTGATACACAAATCCATGTGTTTTCCTTTAGTGGCCCTTAAAGATTTTGGTATCACAGAATTCATTTGAAAATCAGATGAAGGTCTGTGACCTTCTGTCCAGAAAAATGTTGATATACACACAATTTGCATTTCATTACAAAAGCATTCAGAGGTTTCCTGATCAAGGTATTCACATATTCTCTGGCATTAGTTAAGAACTTTGCTCTTGAGTGTGGGTTCAGTATCANACTACATAAAAGGAAGGTAATATTTATTATGTTTATTATCAGAGAATGCTATCAAGCTGGCTCTGTTTGAAGTCCCATAGTTAGAGTGAATCACTTCTAATCAGTTATCTGATTTTCTGTCTTAGGGACTTCCCACCACTAGCCCAAACAGCCAACCACCAACAAAATATGTCTTTGCAAATTAAGAACAGTCATAATTTAAAAAAGAAATGCAAGTACACAAATGCAAGGGTTACCAGATGAGACATATAAAAGTAAACATAGTCCTCACAAGAGAGTAAAACTGATATAAAATTATTTGCCTAAATCTTTAGGTATGAGAGTTACTTAATTACTTACAGTGAGAAGGAAAAGAGGGCAAATCCTTATGTCAGTAAGATAGATTCAGAACAAAAGAATTCTGTTTGGTAATGAGTAGTAACTTACTGTTAGAGAATTGATAACTGCACCCTTGGATACCCTTGGGGTTTCTGACTAAAATTTGAAAGTGTCTATCCTGTAAAGGATATTGAGGGGGAAAAATTTTTTTTAATAAAGGGTATCAACTGATTTCTAGTAAGTTATAAGCTTATATAGTAACTTAATATACTCCAGTAGCATACTGAATTGGTTCTTCCTTAGAGAATTAGTAATTTTGTTCCTCTTCCTCTTTAGAAGACTTTATTGTATGAGCTTTTAATGATCCTCTGCTTTATTATAGATATTATCAGTTTTTGCCTGGTCAAGATATAC